CATCACTCTTTACCATGAGCCGGTCCCTAAAATTAAAGTAAATCTATCAGAGCGCATTAAGGTATGATATTCATACTTAAATATAAGTATGAGAATTAAGTAAGAGCTTTAGTAACGCAATGGTTGAACAAGTACAGATACGAGAGTATACAGTATGAAGCGCGCGGTCCAGACCATTTCTGGCATCACAAATTACACTGAGCGAGCTGCTTCCCGGACAATCTTATCTATCTATAGCCTATAACTGTCGCGCATGGCTGCCCGCCTGGTGGTAATCTGCGCACCGGGATTGCGAACTGTATCCATTGCGCATTGCAGGCCGGCCATGGCCCCCTGGCGCCCGATAGAACTTACCTAGTGCGCATCATAGGTCTAATTCCCAAGGGGAGGGGTATACCGAACGTCATCCTTCGTAGCGTTCCGGTCTATCCCCCGACGCTACGCGGCATAGCCGCGGCACGTCTAACTATACCTTCACACTTGGTTCATAGGTAGGATGGGGGGTAGGGCGGTTCGCGGGATTAGGACGTCTAGGGTATGCGGTTCAAGGTTAGGGTTAGGGTTAGGGGTCAAGTTAAGGTCTAGTCGGTTACAGGATGCTAGGCAACGCACGGCGCAAACACGGCGCATGTCGATGACTCGAATCACGTGGGGCTTCGCCGGGGGTGGTGGCTTGCATAGGGCTGACGAAGCAAGGATACCGGTCCGGCATGAGTATGATAGTAGCCAAGGTTACGCTGGTACCCTCCGACGCGGTTACCCCGCCAGGGTACGTTCGCTGGCAGTAACCCCGGGGGACATAACCCTCTCAGGGCCGTAACTAGTAGACTCGATACTGAGTGAGAAATAAGGAGAGCGTGGGCACGCCACCTTACGCCGGCTGTCGCCGATGGCATAAGGACGAGCCTTAGCTCAGAATCAAAACTCGGGGCCAGCGATAAAGATGACCAGCCGGCTGGCGACCACAGGGTCGTGGTCAGGAAGATCGTCCCTGTTAATTGTCCTGAAGTCTCCCGATGGGGGCGCCAAGTATAACCCGGGTCTGCCTGACCATATTTTCAGTTAAGGCGCCCTTGTCACGCTCGAGAGCTGATGTGACAGGGTTCCTATACACCACTGGCTATGAGACTGACTGTGACCTTGAAGACCTGCACAAGTGGGCGTATCGCAGGGCGGGGGTTGTTTGGGGGTTAAACCCCCCCTTGCCGCTGCCAAACAAACATTAAAAAAAGAGGAGAAGGAAAAAGGGAGAGAGAGAGAGCGCGAGAGAGGAGAGGAGAGAGAGATGAGGTGTGGTGTTTGTGTGCAGAGAGAGAGGAGGGAGAGAGAGGGAAAAAGAGAGGGAGAGAGAACCAAGAAGGGCCTATTATCCGTCTGTATTAATGCTCTACGTACTTTTGCCAAATCACACCCAGGACTCTCTGGAGGCCATGTAAGTAACCAAGGTTTATGACTACTCCAACCAGGTGATCAGGAGTGTGAGGCTAGCCTGAAACATCAGATTACCGATCATACTCCCCCGCCCAAAATCGGATCTGCTCTGCGAGGCCTTCGCATGGGCGGATGGAAATTCGGGCGGGAAACTGGTCCGTAACTATTAGTACACGCGTATGGCCTTTACTCTTCAATCCACTGCAGTACGAGGACGGCGGCAATACAACCTGATGTGAGTATCCCACCCCCGCGCATGATGAGAGAGCATAACGAGAGAGTTTATTCTGGTCCGGCCCAATAAAACACATGAATGATTTCAATGAAGACAGACAACAAGTAGAAATCAGAATGATAGAACGAAGACGCCAGAAAAAATGTGCAATGGAAATCGCGGGTATTCTTTAAGGGGCGGTATTCCGTTCACTCTTTATTTCCCAAAACTCGAGGGGCCGCGAACAGAGTGGTCGGTCGGCGCCCCCGCGCTCCGGAGGGGCACTAATGCCGGGTACACTTGTCGGCATCGACCCTGCCTCACGCCCCAGGCAACTAACACCAGGCGTAAATTCGGGGGAGGGGATGCATTCCCCCCTGCTCTTAAAGGGAGGGGGGGAGGCCTGACAAAATGACTCCCAAGCGCTAGGATATGTTGCCACGAGACAAAAAGCGGAGAACCACAATGCAAAGAACGAAGAGGAAGGAGATCCTCTCGAGTTACTCAGAGGCTGGCTTCCATAGCGGGGTTTTAGGGGCGACCGGTTCAAATGCAGCTACCTCCTCGCACACACCATCGAGTCCCGCAGGTTGCGTTAGATGGCAGCACCACCCTATATCGAGCCATTTTGCACGCAAGATAATATTCACGTGCTTATGGAGCGCGAGAACTGGCCATCTGAGACGTGGCCCCTCCACTCGTCCACTTACCTCCGCTCAGGCTAACCGAACCACAGGTGTCATCTCTCGCACACCTCCCGCTTCGTCCCCGGCATGACTCGGCTTCTCCTCGGTCGCGTCCGTCACGGCATCGTCGCCCGATAAACCCCGTTTCTCTCGTCTCTCTCTCTTCGTGTCCATACACGAACGACAAACCGCACACGCCGCCCTCCTCCTCGTCTCGTCGTCACACACACACAGCACACACAGACAGGCCACACACACACACACCCACCAAACGACTCACTGAACACCTCCTCTTCTCTACGACGACACACTCACACAGCTTTTCTACCAATAGGGTTGTACGGCTAAATGGGGGTAGGGCTTATGGGAACGGCACGTCTGAAAGACGGCCTCGCTTGCGTAAACGCGAAATGCGTACGCAAATTTAACCGTAAATAAGAGACTGCCGGTTAATACAATGTGCAGACCAGCAAGCGGTCGGATTGCGTCGCACAACAAGATTTACCTGCAGAAAACTATTGCGGTAGGGTGGTGCAGCGGGGGGTAGCGCACTGTGATGAATTCATGAATCTACCACCGGAACCGCCCACGACCGTAAATGCAGTAAGCGCGAGCGACGGTATCGGCAATGTCTTTACCAGATTCCAGGGGCGTGTACGAGGGGGGGGCGTCCAAGGTCGCGGACCCCATGGGCCGGCGGCCAGAAACGCAAATCGTCACCATGAGGGTCCTGCCGGACAAAGGGGAACTGTCGAGCAACAAAATCTGGGGGGCCCCCGCTTGGTCGCCCCAGGGTAGCCCGCGCCTCGACGGTACCCCGCTCATCCTTTCGGGAAAAGTCGCCATCCGCGCTGGCTAGCACCGAAACACTCTCAACACCTATGTTCGGAAAGCTCCGGCCGACGGGCCAGGCTGGTCGAGGGGAGTTACCAAGGCAGTTTGATAACGTTACGCGGGTAGCCGTGTTGTCGCCGCCGCCCGGTGGCTTACCTCACCCCCCACCAAGGTGTACAGTGAGTATATCCTGCCGGACACAGATTGACTGTGGTACGGCCAGATACACTCGCACGGTTGTGATGGTTTGCTATCCCCCTTACGGCGCGCGGAGTATGGCGTCAGCGGTGCAATACGCGAGGGAGTTGACGCCTCAGACTAACGCAAATTATACATCATATTCCCTTGTCCGGGGCGATGGATAGTCTTTGCGGAGCCGCGGGCTTATATCACCGCTGTGGGATCCATCTCACAAACAACTGAAAACCAACTGAGGATTGGGCACCAAAACTATAAGCACTAGTCATTTGATTGCAGACAAAGCGACTGACGCCGTCGGAAAAGCGAAACCCCTTCCCAAAACCTCCGCTACTCGCGAAGCCATCGAGACGCCTAACGCCTCGCCGACGACTACCTTCGACCCCTCGATACCCCCTCACAACAACGCGGCACTGCAGCCCCCCGTTGGCCCCTTGTCTGGAACCCCACTTGATAAGGCCGCTGGCAACCCACTGCCCTTACATCCCGGCACAACCACCCTTAAGCCGGATGCCGCAGGTTTCTCTCCTCCCCGCTTGTGCCCGGCGGATGGCCTGCCCCCCGCTTACGTCTCCCCAAACAGGGAGTGCGTAAAAGCGCTTACCCCCTTGTTGCGCATGATGGCCTGCAGCACCCTGTACTCTCAAACAGCAGGATGCGAACGACATATAGCACTTTGTCACGCGATGGGCCTGTGCACACAGACTTCAGTCTCCGACGAGGGATGCGAGAGCACTTCAGCACTTGTCACCGATGGCGCTGGCTACACACTCTAATCTCAGACGGGATGCGCCAACTGATACAGACCTGTAGCCACTGGCTCCTGACAACTGACATTCGACTCAGGGATGGCGAACTACGTTTACACTTGTCGCGACTGGCTGCAACCACTGTACACTCTCACAACAGGAATGTGACACTTAACCTTGTAGCCGATGGCCTGCCGACACTCTACATCTCAGAGCGGAATGGCGAACACTACACACCATTGGTCGCGATGGCAGCTGCGGAACTACTTCATCTTGCAGCCAGGGATGCGAAACTTACACTTTGTGGGCCGTGGCCCCTGCGAACTCTCACCACCCGCTCGTAGCGATGGCCTGCGGCACACGTGTACATCTAGATCGGGAATGCGAGACCTTGGCACCTGTGTATGCCGATGGGCTGACACAGCTTACATCTCACAAGGGATGCGAGTGACACTTTAACGCTTGTCACGGATGGCCCCTGCACACACTTTACATCTCAACGGGGATGCGGCAACACGTTTCACTTGATGCCGCTGGCCTGCACACAATTTACTCTCCAGCCCAGGGGATGGAAACACTTAACACGCCTTGTAACGATGGCCTGAACACACTTTTAGCATCATCACATGTGCCACGGGGATGACGAAACTTACACCTTGTAGGCCCGATGGCCTGCGACAATACTACATCTCCGCAGGGATGGAGAAACTTAACCGGTTGTCGGACCGATGGCGCTGCCGACACACTTACATCTCACACAGGAATTGGACACGTTAACACCGTTGTCAAGCAGTGGGCCTGGCACCATTACAGTGCTCACCCAGGGATGTCGAACACACTTACACGCTGATGTCCGCCGACTGGCCTCGCACCTACAGTATCACGAGTAGGGATGCGACACTTGACTTGTGCGATGGCGCGCACACTTCACGCTTGTTCGCTCGATGGCCTGCGGACACACTTACGATATCGATCACGGGATGCGAAAATCACTTACAGACTTGCGCGATGGCCTGCGCGAACGTTGTTTTCATCTCGACACAGGGATGACATGAAGCACTTGCACTTGTCGGCGATGGCCTGCACAGACTTTCATCTGCATCACAGGAATGCAAAGCATTACCTTCGTTCAACGAAGTGGCCTGCAGCACACATGACTTACAATCGTCACACAGGGATTGCGAAGCACTTACCCATTGTGCCGATAGGACTGCACCAACTTAATCATCGCAACAGGATGCGAACTTCACTTGTAAGCACGATGGCATGCACACTTACTCTCACAGCAGGGATGCCAAATTACACTTGTATGCCGATCAGCCCTGCGCACACTTAATACTCAAGCAGGGATGGGCGAACACTTAGGCCTTGTCGCGATGGCTGCACACACTTAACTTCGACACGAGGACGGCGAACACTTACACCCCTTGTACGAGACTGACACAGCGTGTACATCTCAGCACAGGGTGCGAACGCTTACACCTTGTCGGCCGATGGCGCTGGCGACACGCACTTACATCTCACATCAGGAGATTGCGAAGCACTTACACCTTGTAGCGGCGATGGCCTGCGCAAGCATTACATTGTCAACAGGGATTGCGAACAGCTGTGAACCTGGTCGCCGATGGCCTGCACACGACTTAAATCTGACACAAGGATTGTGAAGGCACTGTACACTTGTCGCCGATGGCCGGCATCTACTTACATCTCAGACACAAGGAAGTGGACACGTTACCTTTTTGTCGGGCCGAGTGGCGCTGCGCATGTGTCGCGCATCGTCGGTGAGGATAGCTCATCTTGCAGCTTGAGGTCGTAGTTGTCTCTGGTCCACTGATGAGATGTGCTCGCTCCCGCCCCACCTCGGCGCGCGGGCTAGAGGGTGGGCGTAGAGTAACGTGAAATATACACTGGCTGTCGACTTGTCGCTCGTAACCGGGAACCGGATCGTCGTCGGAATTGCCCTGCGTGCTAACTCTTCGGCGGACTGCGAGAATAACGAAGACGGAACCTCATAGAGCAAAGGACCGACTAGTTGACGTTGTAGCATTTTTTATGTTTGAGTTAGTGTTGGGTGATTGTTAGTCGTTTGTTGTTTGTTGTAGTTGTTTAGTTGTTTGTTAGTTTGTTGTAGTTTTTTAGTTGAAACGGAACTTCGTAGACAAATAGACGATAGGTGACGTTTAGTTGTTGTTTGTTAGTGTTTGTTAGTTGTAGTTTTGTTGTTGTTTGTTAGTGTTTGTTGTAGTTTTTTAGTTGTTTTGTTTGTAGTTTTTTTGTTGTTAGTTAGTGTTTTGTTTGTAGTTTTTTAGTTGTTAGTTAGTGTTTGTTGTAGTTTGTTAGTTGTAGTTGTTAGTTGTTTGTTAGTTATAGACTTGTAGGTGTTAGTTAGTGAAAGCTAGTTGCTTGTATAGTATCCCTGAAACTACACATTCTGAATGGTGTACTGTAGGTGCGCCCCACAGGAAATCAAGCGTCGCGTTCACAGTTAGTGGACTAATATATATGCCTACACTACTTCTACTTCTATCTCACACCACGTGTTACGCATTACTTCTATCTTACTCTCCTACCCTGTCTCCATTCTCTCCATTCTCCTTCCGTCACCTCACCTCATCTCCGTCACCTCCCTAACATGTCCCCATTGTTGCGACCCCCACATGATGCTTCTACCACCATCATCACCATCATCACCACCATCACCACCATCACCACCATCACCACCATCACCACCATCACCACCATCACCACCATCGCCGCCATCACCACCATCACCACCATCACCACCATCACCACCATCACCACCATCACCACCATCACCACCATCACCACCATCACCACCATCGCCGCCCAGGGCATTAGCCAGGAATGAGTATTGTGGGAGTGCAGAAAAAATATTTGGGAGTGCAATTTTTTTGTATGTGTGCCTTTAGATCAATATTTAGTCCGTGCTACACATTTTTGGCTGTGCAGTTTCAAAACTGACTGTGCAAATCACGGCTGCACGGCTTGCTGGCTAATATGTTGTCGCCGCCGCCACATCTCTCCTACCTTCCGCCGTTCGATCGTTTGTTTTTCTGCTTCTTCGTCTCGCTGCCGTCGCTGTCGAGTTCAATCACGTCGCTGTGGTCAGAGTTGGGCGAGTCCTCAGCCTCCGTATCATCCTCATCATCAATGCTTCCATCTGAGTCGTCGTCCCAGTTTGTCATCATCGCCTGTGCCAGGGGAAAAGACATTTTTTTTCACGGGAGCTCTTTTTCAAGTCTGTGGAAAAATAGCTCTCGTCACAAATTTTATGGGAGCTATTTTGAGCCTCACGGGAGCGATTTCGAAGGTTTGAAGAGCGAATCGCTCATCGCTCCCGTGTATTTTTTACCCTGCACACAGCTGATAGGTTACGGCACAACACGGACTGCTATGTTGCGTTAGTCGTGCAGTAGTACTGTATACGCTGTATATTTCGCGGTGGTTTAATTTTCGCGAATTTCGCGAACGCGTCCCCGACCGCGAAAATAACAACGTAAAAATAACAACACGCTGTTCTTCGCTGATTCAGGAATTCACCGACCGCGAAAATTAACCACTCGCAAAATTGTCCGTTAGATCTGAATTCGCGAACATATCTGTACGCGAAAAATATGGCGTATACAGTAAAGATGCACTTGAGGAAGTGTTCGATCATGTTCAGCGAGAGGAGGCTGTGACTGAACAACAGCCTGCAACGACGCGGACGGAGAGACGCTGGGTTCGAGTTTCACGATCAGAGAGCAGACGGGGATTTAATACTCTTGTATCATAACATTATAACATAAAAATTTGTATCGAACATATAAATGTTTTTATAATTTTTCCTATTGCTGTTTGTTATTTCTGTTAGTGTTGTCATTATCGCGGCAGATCGAGAGGAACCCGCCGTGCAATAACTACATTATTCGGCCGTGCACAGCCATCACACCGAGTGAGCTGGGGTAGTAAAGATATACTGAAGAGGTTCCTAACCCCAGGGCACTGGCAGCTGAGCGATTCGAAGCAGGGCGATTGAATCGCAGACTGCAAGATGTCGGAGAGATAGGCGCACCAATGTCAGGTGACATCTGCTCTAGCGGAAAGAAAAATTTAAACAAGCATTCGCTATTTACGGTAGAATGAAAGAGATTCCCTGATAAATGCATGTTTCAAAGTAAATAAAAAGTAAAGAAATGTAGGTTTAGTCCTGCACAAATTTGCCTGGTGGTATAGCTGCACTGCAGCGGTTCTTAACCACTTAGAACAGTTGCAAGAAACAAAATTAGTCTTGGCATTAGTCTCAACGTCAACTCTTTCTCGTAGACCGTTGACAGAAACATCAGGAGGTTATGAGAATAGAAATTCTAGTTTTTCCAAAACCTATAATACCACTCAACACAATCATATACATTGTAATGCCTTTATTCTTGACAGCACCAGTAAATGCATAACATACCAAACACATACCAATACATTTCCTCATAGCATTATGGTCATTTTCTGGTAGTCCAAACTGTCACACTTCACAAGGCTGCGAACACTTACACCGTGTAGCCGATGGCCTGCGTACACTTACATCTCACACATGGATGCGAACACTTACACCTTGTAGCCGATGGCCTGCGCACACTTACATCTCACACAGGGATGCGAACACTTACACCTTGTCGCCGATGGCCTGCGTACACTTACACCTCACACAGGGATGCGAACACTTACACCTTGCAGGCCCGTAGCCAGTTCTATATTGGGGGGGTTCGTTTTTCAATGTTGGCAATTTGCTCGGCAGGGGCGCGTACAGGATTTGTACCAGGGGTGGGTNACCTTGCATTGACATCAATCAATCAATCAATCAACACTCACTCATCCAACCCACTCACTCACTCACTCAATGCACCCACCCACCACTAAATCACTCACCACACGCCTCACTCAACTCACTCCCCCGCACTCAATCCACTCACCAACCCACGCCACTCAGTCACCTGCGCACTTCACCACCACTAAATCACTCGACACACTCACTCACCTCACCACTCAGATCACTCACTCACCCGCCATGCACCACTCACTCACCCACTCACTCACTCGCTCGCTCGCTCGCTCACCCTCTTCTCCTCGCGTATCTGCTTCAGCTTCAGCATCCACGGATGGCTCCAGATGCACATGAGGTGGTGGTAGTCCTGAAACAACGTCGCTCCGACGTTCTTCAGCGGAGTGGACAGCTCCTCGTTGCTGTGCCCGTTCAGACGCATGTACTTGCTGTAGAGAGCGATCTGCACCTCGGAGAGCCGCACTGAGATGACAAACTCTGTCTTCGGCGGTAGGAACTTGGTCAGCGCGCTGTAGTCGCGCCGCTGCAGAGAGGGGAGGTTGCACGTCAGGGGGGGGGCGGTCGGGTGATGGGCGAGGCGATCGCAGATGATAAAACAATACAAACACCAACAGAAGGCATGCACAGACACAGACGCGCGCACCCACTACACACATCACACGCACACACGCGACACAGATGGACACAACTGCAAACACACGCACAAACACACACCACACACAGACACAGACAGACAGACGCCACGTCCGCCCGCCGGCGCGCACGCACGCACACACGAACACACACACACAGAACACACACGCACACACACACATGCACACACATACACGCACGCACCTGTACACAGCCGGCGAGCAGGTCGTGTAGAATGTGCGCGCGTTTTTTCATCAGCTTCACGTCGTATGGCGTGCTGTCCGAGTGCTGGCCCGATTTGATCGGGTTCGCAAAGCGGTTCTGGAACTCCTTGCGCGTTCCTAGAAGGTTCGGCTTCACAAACTGAAGCCATAGCAAGGGGGATCGGTGAACGCCACACACGTTCACGAGAACGAAGCGAGTGGGTAGAAATTAATTTGAACAGGGAGCCAACGGCTCCTCCTCAAAAAGAGGACGGTCCGCCAGCCAAAAATGAGGGAGTCCGCAGTCTGTAGTTAAACTAAGCATTTGCGGAAAAAAAGACGTGGTAATTCCGCTGATGCCGTTGTGGCTCTTGGAACGAACTAGTTAATATTACAGTTCGGTAAACTAGTTGTTATAGCAGAATTTCAGGGGTCAACACGGACTCCTGGCATATATCAAATCAGGGAGTCCGACAGTAAACCAGGGGATTATTTGACTCCGGACTCACGTTAATTTTCGCACCCTGCGTTCACGCACGTCACTGTCACCGTAGTAACGCCTAGACTACGTCTGCTCCCCCCGCAGCTTCCGCCTCACCTTCTGCCATCACACGTATCAATTCATTTTAAAGCCTGTATCTTGATTCGACAATCCCTGTGTGTAGCCGGCCTGACAGCAGGGACGTCACCATCAAAATTTAACTTGTTTCTCCCCGGCTGATATGCCCACGTTTTAAAACAATCGAAATGTGTCGGTGCACCAACAAAGGCATTCGATAAATTTTTTAACATCACTGACGTATCCATCACATTGCTATGTCCTTGTCGAGCATTAGTACAAAATTGATTTTTTTCCACTTGCAATGAGTGCACCAGTGTAGTAGCATCGAATATACACACGACACGCACTGCGCGACGCCCACACCACACACACACGCATACGCGCCACGCCCACACACACACACATCACACACACACATCGGCGACCAGTGTTAGGACAGGTTGTTCTGCAGCGGTGTGCCCGTGAGCACGCACACACGCACGCCGCCACGCTACGCACGCACTGCGCGAGCGCACGCACACACATACAAGTATACTTACAACTCGGTGGGTTATTCTGCCAGCGGCGTGTCCGTGAGCACGCACACGCACGCACGCACACGACGCCACGCGCGCGGGACCGCACGCACGTGCGCGCACGCACCCACCCCTCATAGGGAATATACTTACACTCCGGTGAGTTATTCGTCGCAAGCGGCGTGCTCCGTGAGGCCACGCAACGACACGCACGACACACGCCGCACGCACGCACGCACGCCACGCACGCACACACACACAAATATACTTACACTGCGGTGAGGTTGTTCTGCAGCGGCGTGTCGTGAGCACGGCACACCGCACGCACCGCACGCCACGCACGAACGTACACACACATGCAGCGATCTTCGGAGTCTGGCGGTTATTTATACGTGCACTCGGTCAGGATTGTTCTGTCGCCCAAAGTGGTGTGCCTGTGAGCACAACACGACGCTTCGACGTCACCTTGTTCATTGCCTTTGAGATCGCCGTAGAGTCGTTCTTGAGAATGTGACCCTCGTCGCAGACGATGATGTCCGCGCCTGAAACAGAAGAACGTCAAAACGCGTGACGACGATGACACGATTACTAACTTTTATTACATCCCCCCTCCCGTCCCGGATCGCCTCCAAGCGGATGAACATTAAGAGGACTATACGATATGTGCGCGTCACCTGGATCCATGAGGCATGTGTCTACCAGTCATGCCCCCCATCCACCCGTCACCCAACCCCACGTCCCCGCGAACGCCTCCAAGGACGAACATTTCATACAGTCATATGCAGGGCCGTAGTGGCCTCCCAAAATGTGCTACTGCAGAAAAATGTAGGATCACCAGTGATAATATCTAGAGGTGGCGGTTATATTATCGGCGCCATGGGCTAACGCGTCGCGATTCGCACGGATAACGCTGAATGCGGGGGATGGGGGGGTCTGGGGGTACTCACCCCGAAAAGTTTTGAAATTTAGGCCTGGAAATGGCGATTTCCTGCATTTCAGGCTAGTTGAAGCAACAATTCGGATCATTTTAAAAGGTCACTTTGTAAATTTTCACAAGAGGAATGGTAGCCTAAAGCTGAGCGGTTTTGGGCTATAGGAGTTATGTTAAAAAATATATATTATGAGTATGATAACTAATAAACATGGTTTACAAATTGTTATACTATCAGAGCATAATTTATGAAAATTATATAGTTTGTAATATTTCCGTTCCAGTGACAGCGGTACTTCAGAATACGTGAAGCGGGCTCCGTGAGAAGGCATGCATGCAAACACCGGTGGCGATGGCTGTGTGTTGTGCTGTGTTTGTGTGGCCAGTGGCGTGCGTGCGTGCGTGCGTAGCGTTGCGTGTGTTGTGTGTGTCGTCGAGGTCTGGTCGTAGTGTGCGTGCGCGTGTGCGTATGGTGAAGATCGAATTTCAAAAATTTTCCTTGACCTTTCTTCTCCGCGGTCATGTTTTGCTCTGGCCTCTACATAATACAACAATTATGGGTTTCAAGTGCGACAGCATTAGATTTAAAGCAAAATCTACTGTTCCCTCAAGGCTTCCGGAGACCCCTATTTTAAACGTGCTCCGGTTTCATTTGCATTGAATTTCCATAGCCCCTGACTAACGAAATCCCAGAGGAGCGTCTCCCCTGCACTTCAATTTTTTTTGTCAAATACGGATTGCCACGATGATGGCTACGGTAATATGGACAGTATGACACACTACGATTGAGCCCATACCATGGGTCCAGATGAGGCCAACTGCTGAGACTGTGTCTAACCAGTTTTCCCCCCCGCCATCTCGCACGCGTCTCCCCCCAATTCGCCACCCTTGTCACCCAAACAGTCCTTCAAGGCATGAACAATTTTAACATATCGAATACGGACTTGACAGTTAAGCCCGCTCACCTGGATCATGAAGGCATGCTGGCTACTTAGTCATCCCCCCCCCATTCACCCGTCCCCCGTCCCCCCCGTTCCACCCCGTCCCCCGAAAGCCTTCAATGGGTGAACATTTCATAGACATAACGATTGGTGCTCCGCTCGCGGCAATTAGCGAATTCCCAACCACGTATAGCTTTGGAAGCAAAAATGAGCAACGTGATGGCTAGAGATTTTTAGAACACGCATATAGTCAACAAGCATGAGTATATTAAATTATAAGCTCAATATTATAGAAACTTTATTTTAATTCAGACATTAACAAAAGGTTACAGAACAATAAATGGCAGAAACAAAACCTCAAATACAAAGAAAATACATAACGCCCCAGAGGAAATAAAAAACATATCGCGTTCGAGACGCGCCGCACCAAGCCCCTAATCCGATCCACGACGGCAAACGGTCTAGCGGTGACCCACTGAGACAAATAGTTATTTTACAGATATAGAAATTAGCTTACCTAACCCTAAGCCTACAAACATTAACAATTTAGATCACTAACCCTACCGAATCCTAACCTAACCCAACCATAAACCCTAACCCTAAACCTAATTCTAAGAGTTAATTAGGGTAAGAGCCAAAACCATAATAAGAAATAAGATAATATGAAAGCCCCTGTGCAAAATTGCGCGATGCCGATGGTTGTGCGTGCGATAGTGCGCGCCGTCCTAAAACATTTTCTAGCCATCGCGTTAGCTCAATGTTTTCTTCCATTAGCTATACGGTTTGGGATCGCAAATTCCGCGGAGCGCTCAACCTGGATCCATGTTGACTGTGTCTACCAGTCATCTCCACCCATCTCACAGTCCACCCCGTCCCGGAATCTGCCCCCCGTTCGCAAGGGAGTAAACATTTCACATTATGACAGGTGACGATTGAGCTGCTCACCTGAGAATTCATATGTCATGTGTTCTACCAAGTCAGTCGCCCCCAGTCCGACCGGTCCAGGCAACCCCCGTCCCCATCTCCCTGAACGCCTTCAAGCGAAACCAATGACACAATGTGCATATGACAGATAATGCGACATACGTTAAGCCGCTTCACCTGGAGGTCCTATGCAGGCATATTGACTGTGTTACCAGTCATCCCCCCATCCAGGCCGTCACCAATCTCCCCGATCTCAAGGATGAACAGTTCATATGACTACCGATTGTGCCGCCACCTGGATCCATGAGGCATGTGGCTGTGTCTTAACAGTCACCCCCTCCATCCCCCGCCCCCCCCCCCAATCGCTCTCCTTATTGGAGCCATCTCACCTGGTCCATGACGGCATTGTTGAAGATGCGTTTCTGGCATTTGTCGTCCACGGCGCTCGCTCCGTCAGTGTTGTCGCATAATGTTCGTATTGCCCATGAGTCATCACGCCACCTTCTTATATACCAGCTACCTCGCACGCTATCCATACACGCTTCCTGGTCTGTCTTTGGATCGGACGCCAGCTCTAACATGTCCTGCGGCCGGCCGATTCACACTGATCCCACGTTACAGACGAGGAGTGTTTTCTTATTTCATTAATGATTTACACGGAAGAGTTGCGATATCTATTAAAACACCGCTTCAGTTTCAGTTATAATATGTGGCAAATTGTGGTCCCAAAATAAAAATTTCTTGCCTGCTGCTACTACGTGCTGGCCATCTTTCTGCGGTGACTACTGGTTGCTTGCGGCCACTGTAGCTGCTGCGGCCTCCAGCTGCTGCTGTTGCTGTTGCAACTGGCTGCTGCTGCAGCTGTTGTGTTGCTGCTGGCCCTACTGCTGCTGTTGCTCTTGCTATTGCCACATTGCACTGGTGTAATAGTAGACTGAAGTCTACGATCGTGAGCACCACGGCGCTGCGGAGGGAGACCTACTACTAATGCAGGATGCTTGGTTATCCTGGCACGAACGAATGACAGGACATTGCAGCGATGACATGACATAAGAAACATGAATGAACGACATAGAAGATGACACGATCAGCCGCAACCTGGGGTGGACATTAGGCATGACATGACATTGAGCATACAACCTGACGTGTACGACGGCATAAAAATGAACATTGACACGACAGTGGCATGACATGGATGAACATTAAATAGCATGACATGTACTACCACATAGGGTGATCACATCCATTAGGTTAGGTGTTCCAATTAATGTCATTAGACTGCGTTGCATGTTAATTTACAATATTAGTATAGTACTATATTATATTATTATATAGGTGTTGGTCTATTGGTCATTATATTAGTTTGTGTGTTTAAGTAATTCAGTTGTTAGGTTAGCGGTTAGGGTTAGGGTTAGGGTTAGGTTAGGGTTAGGGTTGGTTGCAGTGCGTTAGGGGTTTAGACCTTTATCAATCATTAATCATTTAATCATTAATCATTAATGATATCAAAGTTGGGAACACTCCTAATGGAGCGTTAGCCCGACATAGCATGACACGATACGACACGACATGACATGACACGATGACATGATAGAAAACCGAGGTCAGGAGTAAGATTCAGACACCCCCCCGCCGCCCCCCAGGGGCGCATCGTCGCGGCGACGCGAAACTTACCGGTACTCGTACGGTCTTGCGTCGATGGTTCACTGCCACTTCTTGAACTCGTCGGCCTCCAGTGAGGACGGTGTTGAGTGGAGCACACGACGAGGGACGGTGCGAAGCTGGTGAGACCACACGTGCTCGCTCGGTCATGAGCATCGTGAAGCTGTATGAACGGGTCACCCACCTATACGACATGTTAAGTCATACGAACATCTATTCAATACACATTTTAAGTACACAGCTATCATACATATATATAGACACATATACACACGTTCGCTCGTTCATGAGCATCGTGTGTATGAACGTCACCACCTATACACATATATACACATATATATATATATACACCTATTATACACATATATATACACCTATTATACACACATATACACACATATACACACCTATTATACATAAATATACACACATATACACGCGCACACACGCACGTCACCACCATCCTTGAATGTGCGCGTACATTATACATACACATATATAATGATATATAGAGCCTTTCTTTATACTGCTTAAAAACATAGCACGATTGCCACACGACACGTGTACATCAATAGTGTGCGATAACTGAGCCACCACCGGCAGAGGTTTTCGAGGCCCATGCATGAGCAAGGGTATCGCCCCGCGGCCTCCTCTCCCTTATTCCAGCTGATCCAGTTGTCTCAACGAGGCAAGTCCCACATGAACTGCATGCGCTACGGCAAAGAACAGATTCACAAGAGATAGGAATGTAGCTTTAGAACAAGGGTAGAATCCAACAAAACCGCTACTCAACAACAGAGGGAGTCCGACAGCTAAAATGCGGGGAGGTCTGCAGTCTGAAGTTTCAAAAACTAAAGCATAACAACAACATAACGCAGTAGTGCATATTTTGTAATGACTTCATGCGATGCCTACGTCTCGCCCAAGATTTTCATTTGGAATCTTTGCGTTCGCTCCTAAAAATAACCTGCATTAGCGCGAGGCCGCTACTCTGGAACGAACCTATAGTTAGCTATAGGCAGATTTTCAGGGAGTCACACGGACTCCTGCCACTATGGTCAGAATCAGAGAGTCCGACAGTAAATCAGGAAGTATTTGACTGCGGACTCGCGTTAATTTCGCACCCTGCATTCACGTTCGATGGGAACCCAGGAACACCTCGGCTCTCCCCCAGCGTCTACTGCACTCTCCCCGATCTACAGCCAATAGCTTCGTTCATTCTCATCGCAGAATGAACATCGAATTTGAACATGGTTTCAATGGAATGTTCCATTCATGGACAATGGAATTGTTTGAACATTGAACATTGTCATTGATTCACATCGCAGTGACTAAAAGGCTGTCATTAGGCGAGACAAACTCGTCTATATAGCTTCTCTAATTTCCGCAAATGGCTCGATGACAATTGCTGTTGGGAAGGAGAGCGGGCGGGTGCCTTAAGCACACTCGGTGGATAAGACTCGACGGAGGGACGCGCTATCGACGATGAGCTCCACGGAAGATACGGAGAGATCTCCCGCGTGGCGCGTCTCCCGGCAACACTCCTCACAGACGACAACGACCGTCGCCGCGGCGACCGCCATCGCTCACAATATTACGCGCGGCGCGTCTCCCGGCAACACTCCTCACAGACGACAACGACCGTCGCCGCGGCGACTGCTGTCGCTCACAATATTACGCGCGGCGCGTCTCCCGGCAACACTCCTCACAGACGACAACTACCGTCGCCGCGGCGACTGCTGTCGCTCACAATATTACGCGTGGCGCGTCTCCCGGCAACGCTTCTCGCAGACGACAATGACCGTCGCCGCGGCGACCGCTATCGCTCACAATATTACGCGCGGCGCGTCTCCCGGCAACACTCCTCACAGACGACAACGACCGTCGCCGCGGCGACCGCTATCGCTCACAATATTACGCGCGGCGCGTCTCCCGGCAACACTCCTCACAGATGACGATGGCGGTCGCCGTGGCAACTGCCGTCGCGGTTGCTGCTCGCACGTACCTTCGACCTGATAAGGCTTCAGCTTCAGGACGAGTTCGCTGCAGACCTCGACTAGCGGCTCCTTCGTTTTCGGGTCTCGTTCCAGCACGAGCTCCGTCGTGATCGAACACTTCGTCGGCAATGACTCGTCCGCAAACGGCTCCACATGGTTGTACTGCAACGACGGCAAACCGGAGAGCCGTTATCAGAAACAGCATAGTTTTTTTTAAATAATTTCTTTATTTCCTGGTATGTTACAAACATGTTACAGCCATTACAATACATACTTGTACATATATATTTAACTTATATACAATTTGATCATCGCCTCTGCGCATCGCCTCTCTAGTATCCGGTCTCTCCTCTGGACGGACTTGCGGCCACGGTTTTTGCGCGCAGCGCACAGCTCGCGGCGAAGCCGCGCCCCAACAGCGAATATGCCGCCACCTTTTTGTCCACTTAGACAGATACCTTAGACAGAGGTCTGAAAAC